CTCACTGGATGTAGTAGTGGCTATCGGGGCCTCTGGGGGCAGAGCCACCCCACACAGCACAGGGCAGTGGGGAGCAGCAGGGATCACCCCCCACCGGTTGGCACCCATGCAGCAGCTATTACATCATGCGAGTGTAACATGGCTCGGCAGGGCTCCATGTGCTGTCTGTGAGCTAGGGCAGCTCCACCTGTCAGCCAGAGCCCAGCAGCACAAAGTCCCAGTGGCCCCAGCTCCCAGACAGCGCACAGTGCCCTGCTGAGTTGCGCTGCACCTGCGCCATGGGACAGCTGCCACATGGGTTTCAGGTCGGGGGTGTTATCCCCACTGCCCCTCACAGCCCTGCGCTGCACAGGGGGGCTCTGCCACGAGCCCCCAGAGGCCCTGATAGCCACTGCTACAGCTGAGGACAGCGAGGCTTTTTATTTATTTATTTTTTTTTTTAAGTGTTGGGAGGCTGGGGTCGAGTGGGGCATGGGGCCAGGCAGAGCAGCCATGGGGGCTTTTCCTGTGGCTCCCCCCACCTGGGGAGAGGCAGGCACAGCTGGAGGAGCTACAGGAGAACCTGCAGCTGAATGTCCAATTCTTATTTGGCCAAATCAAATGGGGATAGTGATTCCAGTCACCGAATCAAACCACTGTCCTCCAAATCAGCCAAATCCAAATCGAACACTTCTTTATTTGCACAGGCCTAATATCTAGATATCTGCAGAAAGGCTCTTTATAGTTTGTTTGTTTTTACTGCTAGTAATCTTAAGTGTTGCCAGAAATGATAGATAACAACAGTTCAGACACATTCGCCTTTTTTTTAACATGTTTTTATACAGTTTTCCATATAACAGAATTTAAAAAAAAAAATCAGTTCTGATTTTGTTTTTTAACACTTTTCTACTAGCGACGATGTGCAGGGGGAGGGGAAGAGAGGGACAAAACATATTCTGAGAGAGAAATGCCTTTGTGGAAGGGATCAGTCATCCCTCTCGTTTGGTTCTTGCAGAAGGTGAAGGAGATGCACAAAGAAATCCAAATGAACAAACTGAAGAGGCCCAGGGGGAAGCAGCCAAACAAGAAAGCTGACATCCAACTTTGACTGACAGGAGCAGCTGCTGGATGTTTTTCCAGCCTCCAAGAAACAAATTTGTTTCCACAAGCAAGCAGATGGAAAAGAAAATGGATGTGTTTCGCTGCTGGAGCCTGCTCACCGTAATGCTAAAAATGAGGGGGCAGGCTATGGCAGCAGACAGAATTCTCTCTACCTCTGTCACTAGCAATGGCTGAAACTCCGTTGTTGATCCCAGGACATAGTTGGATGGATCTCTTCAGAGCAACCACTTCATGGCACAGCTTGTAGAAAGTAGAATAAACTAGATCATTCTTGTAGCAAAAGGCCTTTGAAACATTGGGGATTCAATTGTGTTCTGTGGAGAAGGTTTGCGTGATCCTCAGAGTTTTAAATTCTCTGGCCAAAGTGTTCACCCACTAAAAGAACTGTAAAGAAAGCACTGTTTTTAGAACTCTGCATCTGTGTTTTACAGCTGTTATTTACAATGTTTTTGTATTGTACAATTTAGATGCTCTACACTGCCCCTTCAAAATGCTTATGAAGAATATTTCTGTTACTGTGAATTTTTCTACCACTTGTTTGAAAGGGCTGGTTTTTGCATAATGTGGTGGTGCACACATGATAGATTTCAATGTCAACTGCTAAACTGATCATGCCTAAAACTAACGACTCATCAACACTCCATTTGATTACTAGATGAGCCTTCAGAGTGATTCATTAATGTGAAATAGTTTGGTGTGTTTTGTGTCTGGTACAGTTTTGCCACTTGCCTGTAGTTAGCTGCATATCAGAAATTAGAACTGAATTTTGGTCTTTCCTATCTTATAATTTGTCTCCAATTTATTAATCTTTCTCCAGGCTCTTTTTCTTAAGTCAGTCCAATCAGTTTGTTATCACTGTAGTTTCAAGAGCAAAACTTAGCCTACGTGGTTAAAAAAACACAAAAACAACAAAAAATGATTTTAAGAATAACTACAACCCCCATGGTGCTAGTGAATCCGTGGTTCCTGCTGTTAAACACACGCCTTTTGTTAACTTGTGGGGAAAATGACCAACATAACCATTCTGGTATGATTTTAGGTATTCTAAAATAACTTCCCTATCTGGACACTCTATTCTGGAATAAATTCACTTTTATTCCAGAACGAAGTGTCCATACTGTTAAGTTGATTATGGAATAGCTCATTCTGCTGTAGCTATGCCAGCCTGTCTCCTCTATAAAGACTAGAAATTACACTAGTGGTTTAAATTGAGGTAGTCCTACCTCCCTGTGAATGAGGTATGTGAGAAGAATGACTAATACTGTGGCAATCGCATAAGTATCAATCACAGAATAAAAAGTGGGGGGTTTTTAATTAACAGAAAGTGACATTACCTTCTTTTGTTGGTTTAAAATGTTATGCACTTTTTAATGTTTGTAAACTTTTATTAATGACTTGTGTGATTGCTTTCTGATATATTAATAATCAGTTAATGAAACATTATTTACTGTTACAGCCACAGCCATGGCTGTTTCTACAATATGTATCATGGTACTTGTCACATGGAGTTTTTTTGTGGGATGTGTAAACCTCCTGATCAGTATTATGAGCTCATTTATTAGTGTTAATAAATAACAAACCAGCAGTGTGCTTGTGGTTCATTAGCACAATCTGACTCCTTTTACCTTTTGTTGTCTGTCTGACCTATAAGCTATAAACAGATGTTGCATTTTTCCCAGGAGAAAAGCGTTTTGTCCTGGGATCCTACAGGCATTTACACCTATTGTCTTGCCTCAAGTGAAGTATGCTGGATAAAATTTGTTAAGTTTTTCTGGGATATTGCTGCATGCTTCTAAGTTAATTGCAGCTCATTTCATTTAATTGTGGTTCATTTCAGGGACAAGCTTGACAAACTGGCCTCGTATTGACAGAGGATCAGAAATGCAGCTTGGAAAAGGCTTCTTCCTATCTTCCAGCCCCTTGCTGAATTCAGCAGCAGGATAAGAGGTAGCAGCTGCACTTGCACCCCTGGGATCCTGAGCTGCGTGAAAGTAGTAGCTCCAGCCAGAGCTCGCATTGATGGGTAGTGATCTCAGAGCTCATGGCACATTCAGAGAGCCAGCTCACTGCACATGCACCACGTAGCCAAAAAAGGATGCAACCACACTGCC